CGATCATTATCGTCAAAGATTGCAATACACCATCCCAATTTTTACATAAACTATCGCAAGCGTCGTGGCGAGATGACCATCGAGTTCCATCAGCTCGTTTTAACATTTTCATATTTTTGGCGTTTGATGATAAGAGATCCCAACGTCGAGTAGACGCAGCAAAGAAAGTGTATAATCCTTGAAGGATACTGAAAAACGATGCAGTTTCTGTGACACATTCTGCGGCACAGGCTCCAACCAAATTCAACGAATGGGCCGCACAAGGTACATAATCGGCAAGAGGATTTAATCGTTTCAACCGTGCTTGTAATCCTGTATAAATACCGGACATGTTGCTGGCATTATCATATGATTGTCCTCTGCAGTTGCCTATGTCAATTTTGAACGATGCGAGCATAGAAGTTACAGCCGTTTCAAGTTCTTCAGATTTATGTCCAACGTTTGGTAGAAAATTAAGAAAGCGTTCGATTGGGCTACCATCTTCTTTTACATATCTAATAATGAAAGAGAGCTGGTCGGTATGAGCTATATCTGGTGTTGAGTCAACTATGATCGAGAAGTATTTGGCCGCTTGTATTTCGCTCACAATGGTATTTTTTACTTTTAATGCGATTATATTGACGAACTCATTGCAAGTCGTTGAGGAGAGATATGAAGTTTTTCCACTACCAGGATTTCCACACTGTGCTATGTGCGTCGATAAGAACGGGTCAAATTCGGCGATCGTTTCCAAGATCATCATAAAATTGCCGTTTCTTAAAGAACCGAAACGTTCAGACGATCCTCGGAATGCAAGTCCGCGACTAGCAAGAGCTTTTATGGCAACAATCACTCTTTTTAGTATATTTTTCCAATATTCGACTTCGTTCTTAATTTGTCTACAAAGATTGGAGTCAACTCTTCCTTCCGTGCGACTACGCTTTATTAGTGCAATTTGATACTGAAGATGCTCTTTTGAATTTTCGTGTCCGCTTAATATTTTATTTACGTTACTCCAGTCCCGAAAACCTTCTGTTGCCAACTGAGAAGTTCCACCAAACAATCGGCACGATACGCAAAATAAAGCTTTTTTTATAGGAGAATAAATTAAATATTTCCGCAGCTGATTTTCTCCATTTGGCAATCGTCGATAAAATGCGCTTTTTGAAAGAAATCGATCTTGGTTACCAAAACAAGTTTTTGACAACGAAAAATCGGCATGCAAATTTTGATTAATTTCTTTCGAAAGTAAATAATCGATTAAACTGTCGTTAATTTTCCATTCCGCGGGATCATCACTCACCAAATCTAAGTTTACGCCATTTACGTCTTCTGTAGTCAATTTTGATGGTACAATCTCCTGTTTTTGTAACTGCTCTGATGTAGTGCTCGAAGTACTGCAAACTTCACTTTCGGTTGTAGTTTGTACGTGGGTCTCGAAAATAGGCTTATCAATATTTTTTTCATCATCATCCTGATTAATGGGACGGAAAAAAGTATGTAGCGTCTTCGTCTTTTCTAATAACTCGTCTTCTTTCTTTCTTTTCTCTTTTCCAATTTTCCTATACTGATATCCACTTAGTCTTTTTCGACCATCACTCATTTTATATCCGTATTGACTACTAGGTTTGTATAACTGTCTAAATATAGTAAAATAATGCACTCTGGTCTTCCTGAGAGTTTACGCTCAGCACGAGATTGACAAAAACAATGCAATGCGGGAGCACCGATAACTAACAATCGACAGTCTAAAGTACGGAGCGCCGGGAGCGCGCAATAGAGCAATCTCTGCAAACATATAATAATTAAGCAAAACCCCGTATATTAATTTTCACCTATTACTACTTTTAAAATTTGATATTTTGATCATCAATAATCATAGACATTATTTGTCCTGTATTTCTCATTAAAAAGTCTTTTAAATATGACTTACATTTTGAGCGCCAAAATAAGTGGAAATTGTGCCTAATAATGAAACAGTCAACAAAATGAGTTGATATATAAAATTGTTTGTAAGCCGTTCTAAAGTACGTTATTTTACTACAATTAGACAACAGTTATTTTATTTACAGACCCAGTAGTATCGGTACGGATATAGCATTAAAAAAGGATAATAGTAAAAAAAACTTAGAAGGTATATCAAGAGGATATCAATATAGAAATATTAAAAAAAAGAAAAGAAAGAAAGAAGACGAGCTATTGAAAAAAACGACGACGCTATATACTTATTTCCGTCCAATCATTCAAAGTAATGAAAAAAAGCTTGAGGGGCGGCAAAATTTCAAATGCGTAGGGCGGCAAGTTTGGTAAATCCACTGCTGCACAAGCCGAATATAAAACAGAGATAGAGAGCACTCTTCCTCTATCGAGAACTCTTGATTAAAATCCGGCAATCCATCCAGCCGCTTTTCCGACCGCAAAACGAACCCGAGCGCACTTCGGTTCGGCCGAGAGATCTCGGTAAAACGGTTCAGCATCCGATCGCCTAGCGTTGTGCATTATATCTCGAGGCAGAAAGGAGAGCTACCTCGGACGAGTATTTCTCGTCGGCACAACGCTTCCTAGAAACTTTCCCTCAACACCGGGAATTCCATTTATATTTCCACGTAAAACGCGTACACCAAATTTACCCGGCGATTCGCAGAAACGCCTGCGAAAAGAAACACGCGCATTTACAAAAACGCGGCTAGACCTACCGCCAGACACGCGCGCATAGAAAAACGCGACGCACACCGTCAACGGTCATTCATCGCGCCCAACGTAAACACGCGCACCGTACAAAGCATTGTAACCGTATAAAATATAGTTGCACTTCCGAGAATAACCGCTGCATTTGTATTACGCGATACCGAACAACAATATAAATATATATACCGAATAATATTCGTGCGACTCAACACCGCCCGGAGTGCAATCTGCAAAGACCATCACGCGTGCCGTTATAACGCGATCTCCGCGCGGCAACATCCTAACACACATCGCACGATTAAAATACACACGCTCACACCCACACACACACTTATACGCACATTCACACACACACACTCTGTATTACATATATATATCCAATAAACATCTATTATTTTTTTTTTACACATACACGCTCTCGCTCTTACTATATCTATCAAACGAATCCTGATCCCGACTTCGACTATCCGACGGCGATTCACGCGGAATTCGCCGGTGACACTTATAATAATTTACAACTTTAAATATCCATAAAATAACAACTAAAATTTTTATATTTTATTTAATCTTTTTGAAAGTAATTAAAATAGATTAATGAAATTTTTATGTTTAAAATGACATCAAGCATGGCATAATTCGGATAAGTTTTCCTTATTGTTAGATAAGTAAAAAATTTATATCTAATCGAAAATTAATATTCGAATGACAAATGTTGGGCTGTTAATATGATTATTTTTTATTTTTTTTGCAAGAATCTCGTTAACTTTAAAATTATTATAATTGGAAATGGTCTATAATTATCTTTTTTTTAGGACTGTTTTTTAATAAATAAAATTCAATTTACTGAATTTTATATAAGTTTTATCTCTCTCTTTTCTATTTCTTATCACGAAAATAAAATATCCTAAACAATGTATATTACATAAATTTATTTTATTAATAGCATATATTGATGTTTATAATATATGCTTTAATGGAAAAGAGAAATCGCGCTAACGAAGTATATTATTAATTACGTCTATATGCGAGACGTATTTATGGTCTATAAATTGTGGATGTAGCACAGACATGAACCAAAATCGACTGTTTTATCGGCACCAAAAGTGGATGTGGCCATATAGTTCCCAGGCGCCGTAAAATGGATGTACGCACCGCTAGTGTACGACGTAGGGAAAGCGTTCCCTCAAAAATGGCAGCGTGGCCCCTCTCAAGGTGCCTTTACATGGGAGCGTCTGAGCGTCGAGCGTTAAAGCGTCGAAAAGTGTGACATGCGCAGTGTGCCTATGCCAATGTTTCATGCATTCGTGATTAAAAATATTGTTTTTATTGATTTTGAACGTGCACACTCCACACGTTATATTCTATTTATTACAATGTATTCTACAAAGTATGTGTATTCTATTTATTTATTAGTGTATTCTATTTATTACAATGTATTCTACAAAGAATACATTGTAATAAATAATATTCATGTTGTAATGTAATATATGTAATATATATTGTAATATATGTTTAGAAAACATATATTTATGCCAATTATTCCTTCTATGTTTGGTTATGTTGTAATACGCTGCTAATCGCGCAATTCTATAATATATATTGTATAATAATATCTATTATATATTATATACATTAATACATTTTCTATGAAGAATATACAATCTACTTATCTCTACGGTATCTATTAAATTTTTATTATTAAACATTGTATTAGCGTCAAGATGCTGGAATCTGCTTGTTTAGAATTATGCGCAAGGGTGCTGCGCACGTGTTTTTGACGCTCGACGCTTGACGCTAAAAGGTACTATTTCATTGACGCTAAAAAGTAGCGTCAACCATTGGTTAAACAATGAAGCAACTACTTTCTTCTTTGTTCAACCAATGGTTGACGCTACTTTTTAGCGTCAATGAGGCCGCACCTAAACGCTTCCATCTAAAGACGCCTGCAGGCTTCTCTCTGGCACCAGTAATTTTCACTGCTGCCAACTGCCCCGGTTTTACTGCCAGTAAATATAACTATTTTCGAACACAACCAAAATACTGTCTAGATTTTTGTTTTTCTAGCTGTTGGCAACACTGTTCTTCTCTCCGATAGAAATCTGTGTGTGGTGTGCGGTTAAGAATCTTATTTTACATTGTTAAGTAATTATTTTTCCGTTTTTTACACAAAAAAATAATCGAATAATTATATGATTATAAAAATCCGAGTAAGATAACCTGAATTAAATATTTATTATATTGTTTTTTAAGGTTTACAGAATAATCTTCATTATATCTTTAAATAATATGTATAAAAGATATTAAATTTATTTTCTATGAAGATATATATTTACTAATATATTTAATAAAAAAAAGGAAAATCTTAAATTATTTTGTCAACAAAGAGTAAATTCAATATCTTTTGAGCCATTGCTTTATAAAAATGGTGAATAAAGTATTTGATGAAACACTCAGAGAAATGAAACTAATAAGCTCTGATGATGAAGGATCTATTCCCTCGCCACTTAATAATGAACAAAAACTTGTAAACAAGATACAAATGAAAAAGCAGTTAGGCCTTTTAGAAGGAATAGCCATTATATTAGGAATTATATTTGGCTCAGGTATATTAAAACTATAAGGTTTTAAATAAACATTTTTAAATCAATGTTTTTTGACACATTACTTCTAAATGTGTACATTAAATATTTATGCTGAACTATATTTGTAGGCATTTTTATCTCACCAAAAGGAGTAATACAAGAGGTGGGCAGTGTAGGAGTGTCTTTAATCATATGGATATTATGTGGTATGCTCTCTATGATTGGTGCGTTGTGTTATGCAGAATTAGGTACTAGTATACCTCGTAGTGGAGGAGATTATGCCTATATTCATGAAGCATTTGGTGCACTACCTTCGTTTTTGTACTTATGGGCTGCTAATTTAATTTTTGTGTAAGTAAATCTTTATTTAATTAATCTTGTTGATAAAATTATTACACAAATATAATTGTCATTTACAGACCTACAACAAATGCTATTATGGGACTGACTTTTGCTCAGTATGTCTTACAACCATTTTTTCCTAATTGTGCCACTCCGGATTATGGTGTACGATTAATTGCTGCACTGAGTATATGTAAGATTTTAGCATTATAATATTTTATTCATATTATCAAATATATTTGATAATATCTAGATGTACTCATAGATATTGGCTTTTGTGTATATATATATATTTATATGTAAATGTATATAACAAGTATTTTGTGTATATATATTTATATTATTTGATATTAGCCTACATAAGATATATTTACATTTGAGATACTTGTTATATATATTTACATATAAATATATATACACAAAATACTTGTTATATACATTTACATATAAATATAATATATATAATATATATATATATATATATATACAAAAGCCAATATCTATGAGTACATCTAGATATATATACAATTTTATATTGCAATTATTAATAGAAGAATATTTTACTCACAACTAAAATTAACTTAATTATATCTTTTATTTTTTATTAACATAATTTTATTTTTTCTTTTTCAAATACAATAATTCAAAAAATAACAATGAATTTTCATATAAATACTTTTTTCATTATTTAAAACGATTGCTTTTCCAAATTAATATTTAATTATTTTAAAGTGGAATAATTGATAAAAGTTTACGCACAAGTTTATAGACAAGTTTTGGTAATTATGCATAAAAGGGGCCTTCTCTCCGATTTGCTTTATTTTTAAATTTGTATAGTGGACATCTTCCCGAGTAATTTCGTATATATATATATATATATATATATACAATATAAGGATTGGACTCAAATAGTTTTGGAGATATAGACTGAAAAAAGATAAAAATAATAAATACAAAAATAATTGTAATACAATATATGTATTTGTAAACTTTGCTTTGTCTTATATAGTACATGCGGGAACACCGCATGTTCCGCCTCCCCTATCGGAGGATTTCATTTTCGAAAAATATAATGTTACCCAACCTGTGTCTGAAGCGTGGAATATACCTGGCTTCGTAAAGTTACAAATTTATAAACTATATATAAACTATATAAATATAAACCACTATATAAACCATATGAATCATGTAAAGCGAAATGTCATATATCAAGGTATTTCAATAATTCTCACATATGTTATCCCCCGTAGAAAGGGCGGAACATGCGGTGTTCCCGCATGTACTTTGCAAGACAAAGTAAAGTTTACAAATACATATATTCTATTAAATATATTTCTTCTTAAACATATATGACATGATAAAATTATAATATCTACATTTGCGACTTTTCACGCGAATTTTTGTATTTATTATTTTTATCCTTTTTCAATATATATCTACAAAGCTATCTGAGACCCTTATATATATATATATATATATATATATATATATATATATTTTACAAGATATTTTACAGTTTATGTAAAATTAAGAAATGATTTTAAGCCTCATAATTCGGAAAGTTTTACTTAACGAAAAGTAATTTAATTATAGTGTTTTGGAAAACTCTCGAGATGAGCTACAAGAATATGCAACAGCATATAGGGTGTCTCATTTAAAAAGTTGGAGATGACTTTCACGTGATTTTCAGGTGACTCTTCAAAGCAACTTTTGTCTGAAACATTTTTGTCTGCCGCGCTCAATTTTTGAGATATTTGGCTGATACGAGTGGTCTGCGATACCTTGTATATACACGAAATTACTTGGGATGATCTCCCCTATAACATATTTATAAATAAAGGAAATAAGAGAGAGAACCTCTTTTATATAAATATCCAAGTTTTCATTTAAAAAATTAAAAAATGAGATTATTTAATTCTTAATAATATTTTGAGAAGTTTTTATAACTTCTTCTAACTGTTTATAATTTATTAAATTATTTATTAATTAAACTTATTAATTAAATTATTTATTAATTAAACTGTTTCTTTAATAATTAATCTTTAATAATTAATCTTTAATAATTTGTAAGTAAAATATAAGCACAAATAAATACTTTTTATTTGTTTTGAATAAAGACAAATATTACTTTATAAATGATATTCGTTTTTTATTTTAAAAAGTAAAGTGTATTTATTTGTGTGGAAATTAATTTATTATTATCTCTTAAATTTTTATGTTTTGAAAGGAGTAAAATTCTATGAAATATTAATAGAAAAAAAGTATAACGTAAAAAAGAACAAGAAATATGATTTTAATAAAAATTAAAGAATGAGATTAAATCTCATGTGTTACACTAGACAATACTTGCTTTTGCTAAAATGCAGAAAGCATGATCGTCCAGTTCTGGATTTTATATTTATTACTTCAATTAAATAGAAAAGGTTTGGTTATTCATTACCAATTGCACATGTTGCAATCAATACTTATTATCATTAAGTATATTATTAGATTATTAGAAATCTCTCTGTGTACACTTCACAATGTATTATTAGATTATTATGAGTTATGTGTGCTATTGTATTTCTGATTTCTCAATTTTGTTTTATAGTCATTTTGTGATCATTTTATATTACAATAATTAGATCTCGATATTCTTTCTCTATTGAAAAAATAATATGGAGTTTTCTTAAAAGGTAAGGTTTTTAAATAAAATAGTTTTTGCGGTTTTTCATTAGTGTTTCTTATACTGAATCAATTTCGCTGAAAATTGCAATGTTTTAGTTATAGCGTTGGAATGTTTTCCTTATTTAGTATGGTTTGTGTTATCCTATTCTTTTAGACTTTACTTTTATTTGATTATACAATTCATTGATTACACAATTCAACAAAAAAATAACTTCTTTAAAATAAGAATAAAATCAGTCACTTTCCGCAGCTTCTTGTGGATGTTGAATTCCAATTTTAGAATTTTTCTATCACAATTTTAAGAAATTTCAATTATGAAATAATAAAATTGATAAATAAGAGCTAAAGCATGGTTGGAGTACAATAGAGAAGAAAAAACACCTTTTTTATATATTTATATATTTTAAAATATTGCTTTGAAATATATCAAATCAAACGATCCATTTCCATTTTTAGGTCTTTCTAGCTTTAGTATAACTTTTATATTAATGTTAAAATAATATGGAATAATAATACATAAAATTATATTATTTCGTAATCGACATGCATAAAATTAAACAGAAAAATTATGATACTACATTTTGCAATAATCTAGTGAGTATATTCCTCTGAAGAGTTCTATTTATTATATTAATAAGTTTTGATACATTTATTATTTTTACATCGGAATAATAACACAATCGGAATGAGGCAGGAACACAGAGAAATGGCAATAACATTCTATTGATCAATTAATTTGTGCAGAGTAAACGCAGGTTCTGGTGATTTCCTACTGTCTCGTTCTGACTGTTTAATAGCTCTGTGCATTCTTGTGTTTTATTCTATGTAAACACAATGAATAGATTGGGATTTACTATGTCAAAGCACTTTATGAATTAGCATTAATATAATGGACAAAACTTTTCGGCGGAATGTCCTCATCAGATTATGTTGAGCAGTATTGTAATCTTTCTGTTTAGCTTTGTGCATGTGATTGCAAAATGATTAATATAATTTTATATATTATTATCCGATGTATTAACATTAATATGAAAATCACGCTGAAAATGAATAAAAAATGGACAAACATTCATGTTTGATGTATATATTTTAAATAAGCGAATATAATTTGAATATATATATATATATATATATATATATATATATATATATTTTTTTTTTAAAGAAAATAAATATTTTGAAATATACCAATAAATAGAGATGTTTTCTCTTTTTTTTGCGCTCCCATTGCGCTTTGACTATTATGTGTCAATTTTACAATTTTATAATTGTTATTATTTTAAGCCAATTTTTTATTTTAGTTTTGAGAAATTTACAAAAAAAGATTATTTTAATGTATTTTTCATATTATAACTATAGTATATGATGTATTTTTGTGTTTTTTTTGCATGTTATGATTTTTAATCGCGATATTTTTTTACAAGAGTATTGTAAATTTATATATTTCATTTGGTTTTTCTTTATCTTTTGTTTTTTCACTATTCATAAAATAAGAGTGACAAAGTTTATGATTATGATGATTGTAGTATATGATGTTTCTGACAATGAATATGTAAATCATTTATTAATGAAGAAATTTTTTGGGCTTATATTCTTTGTTTATTTGGTAAATCTTTACTTTAACTTACCCATCATCAATGACTTTGACCTTGACATATGTTGTCCCGCTCCACATCCACCTATGAGTCAGTGCGAAACGAGGTCTATCATTGTACACTTCTACATAGGTTTGCAACTTTCCACACAAAACGAGGTCTGTTATTGTACGTTTCCACATAGGTTCGTAATTTTTCACATAAAACGTGATCCATTCCATGCCACCTATGAATAATTTATTAAATATTTCTTATTAAAAATAAAAAATAATCAAATAAACCCATACAGCACACAAAGATTGCATACACATTGCAGCAATCTTTCACCGCAATGTTGCAACGCTGCAAAATGTTGCTGCACCATTGCTGTGGGATTGCAGCAACATTTTAAAATGTCCACTTTTAGGAATATTGCAATGTAAAATTGTAGTAATGTTAACTTTGAAAATTAAAAAAAAATGTTTAAGAAAGATAGAGAGAAAATATTTACCTTTAAAAAAATTTTGCGTCTTTAAAAAAATCATCTACTAGTATTTTTTATTAAATGTTTGGTAAAACTTTAGAAAAAGAAACACCAGGGTCGAATCATCTTGGCCTTGACATATGTTGTCAAGGTCACTGTCCTGAATAACATTCAAAAGATTTTAGCCGTCGCTCGTTGTTTATTAAAAAGTTATTAACAAAAAAATTTCCACGAATTATATGCAATATGCGACTATACGAATTTCTAAGCAATGTTGATTTGACTTCTAAGAAGGTCAAGGTTATTTTAACTTTCTGTACAAAGTGAGGTCCATCTCACATCATTCCTGAGTCAGTGCGAAACGAGGTCTATTATTGTATTTTATTTAATCCATTTTATTTAATCCATTTTAGACGAAAATTCGAAGAATACGAGTTTGTTAAGTTTGGTGGGTCGCCACGTAGCGGCAAGTAAAGAAACACATATACATTTTCGTTATGTTAAAATGTTGCTGCAACATTGCCAAAGTAATATTACAAAATAATGTCTCTGCAATATTTCTGTAGCATTACATTGCAATGTGCAATGTTGTAACATTGCAGCAATGTTGATGCAAGCTTTTGTGCTGTATGAACATGTATTTATTATAAATACACTCACCTGCAAAAAAAACAGGCCACTAAATTTGAATACAATTTTTTCACATTTTCAAATAGCGATAAAAGAGCAAAAAATCATTGTATCGAGATGAAACAAAGCTCAAATTAAAACTCGAACATTTCTCTTCAAAACCAAGAAAACCAAATTTGAATTACAAAAAATGTTTTATAAAATAGACGTTGAAGATAGCCTTTGAAAAACGAAACTTTTTTTTAAATTGTTGCATTGCTCAAGAGAATCTACACGCTAATACATAAATGTATGAATTTTGATTGCCTCATTTATTTCCTAATAAATTCATATTTTGAACAATTTTCTACGACCTTTTTTAATAAAGTTATACCGTTTTAAAGAAAATGTTGCAAAATGGGCCTTTTCTTGTAAAATTTGCAGTTCAATAATAAATTATATCGAGAAAAACTTTTTCATTAAAAGAAATTAAAGTAATTAAAAGTAATTAAACCCAAAATGCTTCATATGATTGGATTTAAATCTTGCGTGAGTACGTGCGTGTACATATGCATATGCGTGTATCCTGCTCTTGGCATTATCTAGGGTCGACGTAGACGTGGCAGGAATCTGATCCCATGTCTGTGTGTGTGTGTATGTGTATGTTTAATAATGCATATTGCCGCCTTTCGCATTTATCAATTCTTCAATTTTCTTCAATTGTTGGAGCATTGTTAATCAAATTTTTTTAAAACAGTATAACTTTATTAAAAATATATGCATATGCCTCGTTCTCGTTTAAATTTTCGTGTACAATTAAAGAATTTTTAGACATTACCATCCGCTGTGGCTCTTAATCGCTAGTTTTCTTGTCGTGTTGTTTAATACATGTAGAGCCTAATTCCTTTCAATTTATTTATTAAAAAAGGTCGTAGAAAATTGTTTAAAATACGGACTTGTTAGGAAATAAATGAGCTTCAAAACTCATACATTTGTATTAGCGTGTCGATTGTAGATTCTTCTAACGCAATATAGTTAAAAAAAAATTTGTTTCCTATTTTTCAAAGGCTATTTTCAACGTCTGCCATTTTATAAAACATTTTTTGTAATTCAAATTTGATTTTCTTGCTTTTTAAGAGAAATGTTTGAGTTTCAATTTGAGCTTTGTTTCATCTCGAAATGATGATTTTTTTGCTGATTTATCGCTATTTAAAAATGTGAAAAATATTGTGTTAAAATTTAGTGGCTCGTTTTTTTTGCAGGTGAGTGTACATTCTATTAAGTGCGTACAATGTTCGAAAATTACGTGAAATTCGTGAAACTTTTTTTCTTTATAACTTTTTAATAAACAATGAGTAGCAGCTAAAACTTTTTGGAGGTCACTCAGAGTAGTGACCTTGACAACATATGTCAAGATCAAAGTCATTAAAGGTAAGTTAAAGTAAAGATTTATGTTTATTTCTTTTCATTTTATATTTAATTTTATCAATTTTTTTCGAAAATGAAATTTTGAATTTCTT